GTCGCCCCTCCTGCCCTTGACCTGCCCCTCTTTTCTCTCACTTCTAGCTTTATTCTGCCTTGCAAGTAGCCTATCACTTACCTGCATGGACACTCCAGCCCACGTGTCCAAGCCGTTTTCTGCCCCTCCCCTAAGGTTTGGCATGTGGGTGGCACAGTCATCCCACAACATGGCTCTGAAAGTTGTTCAGGGCTGTTTGGGCAGAGAATTCTGGAGATGACCTAGGAGTGGTTTGAAGACTGGATAGACATGCCCCATGGATTCTGTGACTGGGTGGTGGGTGTGGGGGGTGTGTGGGGGGGAGAACAACAACGACTCCTACCCTGGAAGATAGTCTGTAATTGTGATTGACAGTGCAGTGTCAAACCCACACGGGGCTGAATTCTGGTTCCATTACTTATGAGCTAAGAGATCTTGAAGAAGTTATTCAACGTCTCTTTGATTTACTTACCTATAAAATGGGAATGAGAGGGTATGCACCTCAGAGGGTTGTGGGCATTAAAGGATTTATTTTCATACCATATGTCCAGCAGGGTGTCTGGCATATAGCAAATACTTCACAAATATTAACTATTGTTTTTCTTTTTAACTGTAGAGCCCAGAACCATGCCTGACACAAGGCTGTAGGTGCTTTAAGAAAATCTGAATGAGTAACAGTTAATTAAATGGATTAGAATAGTTTGTCTTTTTATTACCTTTCTTAGTGTTTGGTTAAAAATGACTGCAAATTTCAGTTTGTATAGCCTAAGTAGAAATCAGTTTTAAAATACATATTGAGATAAAGGATCAGGATTACTTTTCATACTTAATTATCAATAATGAAAATAATTATCACAGAGATTTTGAAAGCAAAACAAATTTGTAAAAAATAGATTAAAAATTACTAAGTCTCTATTTTGATCTTTGCTAAAGATTTGCCTATAAGGTCAAGAGACTGCTGTCTGAGGTGGACTGAGGTGGCAGAAGCAGGTATCTTACAGGGTTAAAGCTTCTACAGTGTAGAACCCACTTTTAAAGACAACTGTATTTCTTCAAGTTCAAATTCTAGTGAGGATGAGAGAAACAGAGAGATCATGGATGCCGCCAGTGTTTCCCTGAACTACCGGAAGGCTAACTTACCACTTACTCAGGTGAGGAAGAGTATGAAAGGAGCAAGCTTGAGAGAGAAAACTGGAAGTTTGGTTTTGAATATGTTAGGGTTAATTTTGCTTTTAGACATACAGTGAGATGTTGAATAGGCAGTTTGTTATACCCTTTGGAGATCAGCTGAGGAGTCAGGACTGGAGTTGTCAGCATAGAAATGGTACTTAACACCCAAGACTGGATCAGTCGGCCTGAGGATTTAGTATATAGCCAGAAAAGAAAGTCCGAGGAGTAAGTCCTAAACCACTTCTTTCAGAGTTCGGAGCATGAGGAAGAACTGATATCAGAGAGGGAGAAACAGCTTCAACCAAGAGAATGTGGGTCCAGGAGCCAAGGAAAGAAGTGTTTTGAAGGAGGGTGTGGTCAACAGTGCCAACTTGCTGACATAATGGGTGAAGCAGGGTGAAGACTGAATGGGCCATCAGGTTTGGCAATAGGGAAGTCACTGTGATGCTAACAGAGCAGTGCAACTGCAGAGGTGACAGAGAAAGCCTGACGGCCATGCATTCAAAGAGCAGGTGAGGAGAACTGGAGACAGCAGTATGGAAAGTCTTTCAAGGATTTTGGCTATAAAGAAAAATGAGAAATGGAAGAGAGATATTACAGCATGTATGGAGATGCAAATGCTGTAAGCAACCCAGTCCAAAGGAGAAAAACTAGTGATTCAGGAGACAGGAGAGGTAACAGTCCTTCCAACAAACTCAAACAAGGTATACTTTTGTTTCGGGAAATAGATTTATCCATGTTATTTTTTTCCCCTTCATATACATGCATACCAAAAAACTGTTACATATGCATATTTTTAAGAAAAAATATTTTTAATGGAGCCATAATAGAACCATTGAAAAGTAAGTGGTTGAAACTGTCTTTGCTCCCCCCGCTTATTTCCGCATTCTTCCCATCAAAGATACTGAACATTCTTGTGGCCCTAAAGTTCAGCTAAAAAATTCATGCAGTGGGATTAATGACTGCGTTTCTCCTCCAGTATTATTTTAATTTATGAAATATTTAAGATAAAATGATATGAGAGATTTGCTTCAAAATAATCCAGTTGAGAGAAAGAGATGAACTGGGTGGGGAGAGAGATGAAAAAGCTGGCCTTGCGTTGATGGTTGATGACGCTGGGTGATGGTTAGATGGTGATTCCTTAAACCTTTCTCTCTGCTTTTGTATGTATTTGAAAATTTCCATTATGTAAAGTTAAAAATTACAAGAAACATAGCATCAATGCCATGGTTATTTCAAAGAAATCCATTAAGTGGTGAAATTTCAGATAATTTGGTAACAGGTGACTATTTGGGAGTACAGGAATTTTTCTGGCATTTTCCAAATCTTTCATATACAGCACAAACTTTTTCTTTTTTTTAATCAGAATGTGTCTCAGTTCCTTTAAGATAGAATTGATTTGGAAGCTTATTGTGCAAATAATTTGTAAGACTGGATTTTTAAAAAGGAAGGCTTGGTTCTCGTAACTATCCTCTTACTTTAGGTAATTATAAAGAAATCTGAGAACACTTATGCTATGGAATGCATTCTGAGGTAAAATAATACTACAGTTAAAAAACAATGCTAATCCAGTTGGTTGTTATTTAAAAATAGTTTGTGCACAGAAGGTGAAATTTCATTGCAATAATAGTTGCCATGTTTTTAAAGAAATAGGAATTTTGGAATTTGCCACTCTTATATATTGCTGTATAACAGCTTAGTTAAAATATTTTAGCCTTTCAAAACTAGCAAATGTAGAAACAACAGTGTTGCTGCATTAACTCTTTAAATATTAACCACTAGGTATTCTTTAGTGTTTTCCAGTTACTCATTAACCAGTTTTTAGTGTTACTGCTTTAATTGTTGGTAATTACTACTAGGGAAAGTTGAATAATGAACTCCAATAACTTTTTTCTAGATCAAAAAATATTTGATAAAAATATCTGTTAAAAAAATTCAGATTTTATTACAACATCCCTCTTGCTCACTATGTATTTGGAACCTAAATTCTACTTCAAAAATTAAACCCAATGTTATGTTGTTGTTTATGCAGTTTATGGTTTCTTTTGTATGGCTTTATTGCCCTCAACATTTCCTTGGTGTAAACTACTGAGCAAGGGAACAAGATTTCCTTTGTAACTGATACCTAAATTTCTATTCTGCTTTAAGCGTCTAATTTGCACTGTGAAGACACATAATTTGAGACTTGTAGCTATATCACAAAAGTACAACAGTTTATGCTGATCTCTAATTTTCTCAGTTGATGGCTATAATTTAAATTTTTTGCATGTTTTAACTGCAGTGCAAACCAGTATACATCAGAAACCTTTGTATATTGACAGAGACTGGGAAAAGGATGCCTTGTTCTGATTTCAGATAAGCATTCCCTTTTCCCAACTGCAGGTGCAAGTGAGTCCATTCATAATACTTGCTTCAAACCAGTTATAGTCACCGGATGGAAATACAATGCTATAACACGAGAACTTGACTAATCTTTACAAGCACAATGAATATCTAAAAATTATTACTATTATTAGTAAATTCTAGAGGCAAGTAGGACTTTTCCTTTGCCTATATATTGGGGATAAAATATACTCTGTTGACAGTTTTGGTCATTTTACTATTATGTGTATATGTGTTTACTAAATCTAAAAAAAATACTTTGTTACTTATTAACACAGGATGGAATTATGCTCAGTGGAAAATCTGCTGCAACAATGCATGTTCCACTTAAGAGATACATGATAATGAATGTTATTTTTTCCTTTGCCTTAAGTTTCACTTATTTTGAAATCAACATATAAGTAAAAAAATAACCACAAGATAAAAATTTACTCTAATTGTTGTCATTTCACATAACTGTTAGGTAAATCTCCTTTTGAAACAAATATTAAACAACTATACATGCAACAAGTAAGTGAAGCTAGCCGGTTGTTTCCATTATAAACCCTTATTTATAAAATTATGATTTGACCATTTTAATTAGCTGCAGGCAGAAACTTGGCACATCAATTCAAAGCATAGGAGAAAATTTTAGTCTACAAAACAAGTATAGTTCTCCTTCAACAGAAGAGGTCAGCGAAAGGCTCTAACAGAATTTAAGGGCTTGGATAGCCAAACACAGATAAAGTACATTAAAAAAATATATGGCAATAATCATTGCATTGGCAAAAATAAGTGCTTGGCTTATATATAGAAACCAAGAAGAACGCATCCTAAATTGATGGTTATTACTTACTATATGTTTTACTGTTTGCTAACAATCCAGCAATGCTATCTTATATTGACATACAATTCAAAAGATCCAAAACAGTTTTGCACTTTAATTCATTCAGGCTGAGCACTGTAATAGAAGAAACTTGTAAGCTACCATCCTTTTCTTTCATCAAATCAAAAACAGAAGACTCACTCCCACTACACCAACTTATGTTCAGCCTTGAATCAAATGCAAGCCAGTGGTTAGACCTACAGGCTAGAAAGATGAGGAGCATCTTTAAGGATGCGATGCCTTCAAGGAAGGTGCTTTCAAAGATGAAGCAGACCCCCTAAGCTGGCCTCTGCAATTATGAGCGCCCACCCTTCTTAACTTCCATTCTATTATGGCTTCCCCCAACACCAGGGAGCAACACACAGTATCTCCTTGTGTAATTAGTTATTGCTGTCACTCCTGGCGGAAAATGCTTGACACCTGGCTGCCCTCAGGCCACATGATGGAGGACGCTGCCACACACCGCCCTCCGAAGTTCTCAGGGCACATGGAGGGAGGCTGACACCAGGCCACTTACCTGGCCAGGATGCTCTTTGTGACATCCCAAGACCTTTGGGGAAGAGAAGGAAACAAAAGAGGGGAGTAAAACAACAACAAAACTTACCACTTTGGCTCAGTCCAAGAACAACTGAAAATACCCAGGCCGCCCGAAGGAATGGGGCAGGACCTGGCCGGCAGTTTTGCAGACAGACAAATACGGCAGTAAAAAAAGCCAGGGCCGAGCGGCACATAATGCAAAGCAGCGGGCGCAGCGCCCGCCAACTGGCTGCTCTCCGGATGCGCGCTCGTGCCTCCCGGGCGCACCTCGGGGGCCCGCGGACCAAGTGTCGCTAGGACGTTTCCAGGAGCCCCGGCAGGCGGACCCCGCGGCTCGGAGCAAGCGGTGCAAGTACGCTGGCTCGGACACCGCTCGGCATCTCAGGGCCCCCGCGGCCCTCCAAACTCGGCACAGCGGGTCCCAAAATCTCCGCGAGAAGCACCTCCTCCGACGGCCAATGGCCTGGGGCGGCGACGCGAGCGACGGCTCCCCAGCCCGCTCTGGGACAAAGAAAAGAGCTTTTGTTTCTCCCCAGCCGATGGGAATTCTGCTGCATAAATCAGCTTAGCGAAGAGCCAAACACAATCAAACCCAAACAAAGCCCGAAGCTAGGGGGAAAAACCAGTCTAATGGTACATTCACTGGGTGATGTTGCATCTGTGGGAGGGGACGCCGGCGAGGCTGAAGGGTAAAAAAAAAAGTCGATGGTGCATCAATCAGCGTGTTTCTTCCACAGGTGGGCAGGGAGGCCAACTCCACTTAGTTGCAGCTTTGCAGCCTCGTTAGCTGAACAGCGGGCAAAGTCAAAGCAGCAGCGTCCTGGCTGGCGAGGAAGGAAGCTCCGGGTGCCAGCAGCCGGGGGAGGCGGCTCCGTGAGCACCCTAGAAGCTCCCTCCGGCGCCGGCGGACACAGAGCTAGGCATCGCAGCTCCCTGCTTAGCCAGGTCCCTGCTTGGAGCGCACCGGGGCGAGCGCAGGAGGGGAGGTTCCGCGGGGGTGCAGGAGCCTGGTCTCGTGGGGCGGGAGCTTCGTGCCCTCGTTCTTTTGGCCCCAGTTTGCGGCTCAGGCGTCCGACCGTCCAGAGCCCGGGCTGCTGGCGCGCTCTGGGGTGCACCCTGCGAGGATGCGAGGGAGGCGAGGCTGGTGGGGGGCGGGGAGGAGTGGTCCTGTCCTGGCCCCCGGGGGAGGTGGGCTCCCGATGTGCGGATAGCTCCGAGCATATCGGCCCGGGAGTTGCTAGGAAACCGCCCCACGCTACTGAGCGCCTTGCCCCGGCCGCTAGCGGGCGAGGAGGGGGTGGCTCGCATCAACAGCCATTGCTCGGAGCAGCGTGGGCGGGACATTGGTGAGGCATGAAGTCACCGCGGCCCACACTCGCTCTTTGTTTTGCTCACTCCAGCTTTTTTTCTCCCCCTTGGCTCTGATAGTTGCGATTCCTGTCGTTCACAAGAACTCCTAAGGCGTAGCCCCGCAACAGGAATCGCACGCCCTGTTCCCTTTCCCCCCCGCCGAATTCCTGCACCCCAACGCTCTCCTAGCGGGTGTAGAGATTAGCACGAGTGGCAGCTGCGCACAAACCCCAGCCTCTCACCCCGGCGCTGCGCGCTCCTTTGTTCAGATACTCACTGCTCGGCAGCTGCCGCATACAAAGTGGAGTCCACGGGCCCCTCCCCGCCCCCCAACACCCTCTGTTTCGCGGGTGCGCACTGCCCACTTTGCTTGGAGTTTGGAATGACCCTTTGCCCCACCCCGAGATCGTGCGGCGTCTCCCCAACCCTTGGAGAGTTGGTCCAGTCCACACAGACTGTACTCGAAGTTGCTGGCCGAAATTCCCCGCGGCTGCTTCACCACTCGGAGCCTCAGCCCTGGACTGAACAGCCCTGCTCTTTCCAGGATCTGGTGGTGGCTCTGGGATTTTGCTAATTATAGTGGGTCTTTTGGCCTGAAGTGTCACCTTCCCAATAAACGGAACAAAGAAGTTACAACAGGCGGCAAAGCAGGAGAGAGAAGCCAGGAAAGGAGGTGGGAGGGTATTTCTGCCTGCTTGTAGATCAGAAATTTAGGTGCTATTGGAGAGCTGTCAGGGAAGCCGCGCGCCTCCTTGGGTCCTGTCACTACCTCGCTAGGCCGAGGGAGGGAAACCAGTTCCCCGGATTGGAAACGAGGCCGTTTCCAATCCGAGACACAGGGTGCTGCTTCCTTTTTCTCCCGCTAGGGGCAGCAGTGGTTCCCCCGGGCAAGGTCTGACCTCTCCTCATTCCGCGAGCTGCCTGCCTGAGCTCCTTCATAGAACAGCCTCCTCTTACCGGCATCGGACCAGTCCAGCCAGGTCAAGGTGAAATATGCGGAGTTTCCCTCCTTCTTATTTGTTCAATAGTTTCCATCTCCATATTTGGAATAAAAAAACAAGTAGGAGGCTTTCTCTCTCTTTTTTCTTTCTGTTTTCTAATTGTTAAGTGAGTGAGTGGAAAGTACCTGTTTAATAAACCACAACATTGAAAACTCCCCTTTCCAGGTGTGGACTGCACATTGGAGTCCACAGAATTAACTAAGCAAACCAGAAACCCAGCTGGAAAATTACAAATGCCCTGGATCTGCAAAGCAGGTTGTTTCTGAGACCAAATGAATGATCTACACATGAAAAACCAGTACTTGTAAACACAACACCACTAAAGGCAAGGTACTCTAGGTAGAATGAAATCCAGCTCAACTTCATTACTTATTTTCTTTCCTTAGTTTCAAGTTTGAACAACTGTAGTTTTGTTTTCTGTGGTCTTAAAGGAAAGGCCTCAAAAGTGGCTGGATGGGGATGAGGTCTTGAAATTTGAACACAACATGAATATATTCAAGCTCTGATTAGCAATCCTTCTGTGGGGCAGCATGTATATTTTCCAGAGATTAGTTCACAGTCCAATCACAGCCACCCTTGAGAAAGTGCAGTGCTACAATGAAGGAAAAAAGTCAATCCATAGTACCAGTAAGGATGTGTGGAAAGAAAGAATTCTACATTTTGTTTTATGAAGCCCAGGCTGATATGTCGGGATGCCGGTTTTATGGAGTTGTTGAAGAATAAGCACAACACCATTTATCACCACTTCCCAGTTGAAAAGAGGTTATAATTCTGGTGATCAAAATAAAATGAGACAGACTATCCCAGCTGTGACACTGTGATCCTTGTTAAGTTATTTACAAACAAGTTATCTGTATATTTTGCGCTATAAAGATAAAAGTGAATTCTCTTGAGCCCTGCAAATCATCTGTAGGGCTTTCTTACAGTAAATATAATTAGGGGCCTAGGAACAAAAAGTTTCCTTGTTTCCAATAAATGTCATTGGTCACCACAACTCATGCTCTTTCCTGTAAGAAAATGTACAGCATATTGGAAAGAAATGTGGTATTATCTTCCTCATATTACCTGAAGAATTCTAACAGTGAAAAAAATGTTCCTGAAGATGGTGACTTGATTAATTCTTGTTTTTGTCATACTCTCTGCTGCTGTCTTGCTTTGAAATTTCTGACAGCTAATTTTTCATTATTTGTGTAATGAGAGCAAATGAAATTCGCAGATAGTCTAAAAATAACATTTTAGCTATTCATTCCAGCCTTTTATCATCAGACTATTTTAGTTGCTAATAAGTCATAAAATTAGATGAATTAAGTTTCTTTCCTACTCCTTTAACCTTGATTTCTCACTAACTTGGTTTATGGTGAGAAATGACTAAGCTATAGATAGCAAGAATGAGAGCCACTGCTGAGAGACTGCTCCTCTGATTGTGTATTCAGCCTTTTAACTGGATTTTGACCAAATTATTGACCTTATAGTTAACAGCTAAATCATATTCACATTTGAATATTACAGATACTCCTCAATTTGTGATAGGTTTATATCTCAATAAAACCATACTAAGTAGAAAATAACCAAAATGAATTTCGCACACCTAACCTACCGAACATCATATTGGGTTGTAGGAAAAATCATGATGCATGTTTGTAAGAGATGGCACTAGTTCATTTTTGGAAGTACTAGAGTCATTCGCATCTATGTTATTGCTATGTCATTTGAAAGCTGACAGTTCTAGCTTCATTCTAAAAAAAATGAGTGATTTGGTTGTTTTGGAGATTTTACAACAAGTTGAAGATGGAAGACCAAACTGTGCAGTTTCCCCATATTTTACTGTTTTACTTCCATAAAGGGAAGAACGTGCATCAAGCTTGTGAAAAGTTGCATAAAGGTTATGGTGACAATGCTCTACAAGAATGTCAATGCCAACGATGGCTCACGAAATTCCGTGCTGGTGATTTTGATCTCAACAACGCTCCTTGGTCAGGGAGGCCCACCGAGGTTGATGACATAAAAATAAAGGCATTGATCGAGTCAAACCCCCGTTACCCAACATGAGAGATTGCAGAAACATTGAACATCCATCATTCAAGTGCTCACAACCACCTGAAGAAGCTGGGATATGTAAGCAAGTTATATATTTGGGCTCCACATGAACTCAAAGAAATTAATTTGACGGCGTATATAAACATCTGCAATATGCTCATTAAACGTGAGGAAAACGATCCTTTTTTAAAGCGACTGATAACTGGTGATGAGAAGTGGATTGTTTACAACAAAGTGGTGCAAAAACGGTCTTGGTCCCGATGTGATGATTCGCCTCAAATGACATCGAAAGCAGACATTCATCAGAGGAAGGTTATGCTCTCAGTGTGGTGGGATTTTAAAGGTGTCGTGTTTTTTGAGCTCTTGCCAAGGAACCAAACAATCAATTCGCATGTGTACTGTCAGCAATTGGACAGTTTGAACAAATTCATCATTCAGAAATGTCCAGAGCTTGTTAATTGTAAAGGAGTTGTGTTCCATCGTGACAACGCGAGACCACACACAAAAATTATTGGAGCTCGGATGGGATGTGTTGCCATACCCACCATACTCACCTGAGCTCGCGCTGTCAGACTTCCACTTGTTTTGCTCTCTTCAAAACTCCTTGCGTAGTATAACGTTCAATTCAGATGAGGCTGTAAATCTGCACCTTGTTCAGTTTTTCACAAATAAAGACAGGTCCTTCTATAAAGGAGGAATTATGAAGCTCACTGAAAGATGGCAAAAGGTTATCAAACAAAACGGGCAATATATCATTGATTGATCTTTGTTCTTTATATAAATAAATGACCTTTGAAAAACATAGACAAAATACGTCATGACTTTTCGACAACCCAGTAGCTTAGCCTAACCTATTTTAAACATGCTCACAACACTGACATTAGCCTACAGTTGTGCAGAGTCATCTAGCACAATGAAATACACTGTAGAATACCAGTTGTGGACCGTTGGGATCACATGGCTGACTGGGAGCTGAGGATCACTTCCGCTGCCCAGCATCACCAGAGAGCATCACAACGCATATCGCTGGTCAAAGAAAAGATCGAAGTTCAGAATTCAAAGTACAGTTTCTACTGAATTCATATTGCTTTCATACCCTCTTAAAACATTGTAAGTTGCGCCATTGTAAGTCAGGACGGTCTGCATATCTTTCTGAAGTTCGTATTGGAAATAATCCATAGGTTTTAAGCAGATGTTCACAGGTTGTCTATGAGCTCGCTTCCTCTACAGCTCTTAAGAGTTGATGAATGGCCCAGCCAGTGGGATGCATTATGGTGACAATGACATCTAGCTTCTTCCAATGTTAAAGCATATAAGCCACTGGAAGTTAGTTTTCACTGAAATATTACAGGAGGCCATATTCTTCATCCTGTGGACTGAAGACTGCCTCCAACAGAATCAGCCACCTGGAGAGAGGTTGCCTCGCTCTATTCCAGGAGACGCTGAATTCATAGCTCTGGTGTAGTGCCCAGCAGTGTGCATTA